CTCCAACCTGTCCATTCTGAGCCAGGAAAAAGCCCTTAATGAGCACATTTCAGTTGGAATTGATTATTGAAAATCAGATTTTCAATACTGCTAATTGCAATGGCATGGAGGTATGTCCTCTCTATTAGCTAATATTTATATGGATGTTTCAAGCAGAGCTGCCAAAAACAAAATTGCTTGCATTTTCCTAGCACTTTTATCCAAAGTGCTTTGTAATTGGCCTCTCACTCATCTATTCCATTCTCACTCAGACGCTAAAGGCAGCAAGCCACCTTGTAAGGTGTCGTTCTCCAAGGACACTTCAAGCCATCAGTGCTGCGATTAGAAGATGACACACTCTCCCGAGCTAGCCTGCTAATACCTTCGTTGAGATCGTCAAGAGTCAAACAAAATGATCCTTTTCATGAATTTCTTCTGCGATTATTCCGATTTTATAAATCTGCAATGTAAAATCTTTTGGCAATCTCCTAGTATATTTAAGTGTCATCTATTTAGTTAAAGAGTCGATTTGACCCAGGTGGTAGGAAGAAGCACACTAAATGTGCAAAACAGATTGCTTCTGTTGTGTGAGCACTTTTGGGTTGTAGTTCGAGGACTTTGACAGGTGTTGTGCAGTTAAGTTATGCGTGTCTTTGCTTCACAATTGATATTTTCCCATCATCTTACTTACAAAATAAATGCCTTTTCATCCCACTCTAACCACCAAGTGTGACTTTAAGGTGTAAATATATTAAACAGGAGTCATATTACAAAAGCCAAAATAACTGTAGTTTTACTCTTGTACAAAATAACCTTCAGAGTTGTGTTGAGTCCTGCCACCAGCTTTCTTTGATTATGTGTTCTGTGCAGAAGGCTGCGTATCTGAATCAATCTTATACTCTGCCAGAAAGGTATTTCACCATAATTTGATTCAAAGCCAGGACTGTATTTAAAACAAAACACCACGGGTCACAAATGTCTGAATAATTTCTCTAAACTGCAAGCGTCATGAAACACAAGCAGACATCCATCGCTGGCATCGTCAGCAGATATAACGACATCCTGAAACCGGGCAGGAAAAGGCCCTTACTTCAGGGCGCTAGAAGTGACGCCTCTAACTGGTCTTTAATCTTAATTCCACTGTGTAAAGGGCACGTGTCTGGCTGTGGAGGACATTATTGATCTCCGACTAATTAATTTACTTTTATCCCCATTTTCGCGGCCATACGTGTTAGCAGGTTGACATGCTGTTTGAAGCGCCACTGACGGCAGTGTCCTTGTCGTGCTCCCTTTAGGTCGATACCTGCGCCTGAAAATGTTCCGCGAGGATCATGGCTCCTGGATGACCATGTTCTTCAGCACCATCCTCTTCCTCTTCATCTTCTCACACATCTACAACCTTTTCCTGCTGATGGCTGGGAGCATGAAGTAAGACGTTCAATCTCTCTCTTTCTCTCTCTCTGCTCCTTCCTACCCCCACCCTCCTTACCTCCTCATTCTGTGCTTCCCATTTGTTAGGGCCATTGTATGCTCCCCTTTGGCTGGTGTGATTGATCTAAACGTCTTGCCTGAATAGAGACTCGATACCGGTCTGATTAATCAGCCCTGACTTTAAATCTCAGGTGAGGGCAGACAAAGTGGAGGGTGGTTAATCCTGAAAGATCACCTTTAGCACCTGCACTTATTCTCCCACGATCTTGACTTTTATTTATTTATTTTTTTATTTTTTTAATGTGTTCTTGACATCTCTCTGGCTTAAAACCAAAATGTTGTTTTTTTTGTTTTTTTCCCCCCGTGTCACTCAGTCTGGGGTCTCGTGTTTTTAGTTACTGCTGCACCAGCTTTCCTGCTGAGAAACCACAGCAGAGCTCCCACACCCACACATCAACCCCGTGACAGAAATCAGTTTATTGCATTTGCAATGTGGCCATCTAGATGAAGGAAAACACGCCCTTGAAGCGGGCCAGCCAGCCAGACACGAGGTCGCAGCAAGATGATTTACCATTTTATCTGTTTGGCCTGTTAAAAGAAAGAAAGAAAGTGTGGCAGCTGTCTTTTCAGGTACAAGCTGTCACGAAGGGAAGGCCAGGGCTGTCGTGTGTCCATACAGCACTGCTTTTCCATATTAACAAGGAGCTTGAGCTATCCATGAGGTGCAGGCAGATGAAGGCTATTAGCTATAGGCAAGGTGTGGTGTTTTTCTATGGCCAGAGGGATGAGTTTGTATAATCGGCCCATCTGTCACGCCGGCCGGCACGGTGGCACCGGCATCCATCTTGTTCTGTGTCTCGCTGGCCGAGAGACGGGAAGTGGACGGCCTAGCAAAGGGGCCAGAGGAGGTCTGGGAAGGGGGGTCTGCTGAGATGTCGAATGCTGCTTGCTCAGGGAAAAGTTCCCCTCGCAGTTCTGCCGAGTCCATCTGTCACAGAGATGACCCTTATTTTAACATTTTAGTCTTGAATCATAGAGGGGGGGGGGCTTTAGTTTTTTACTCTGTCACTGCATTTTAGAACAGTGTTAAAATGACATCTGGATAATAGTGATGGGGGAGAAATAATGACATGTTCAGACGCTTCCAGAGGCGTAACTTATCATTTACATTTAACATGTGCTAGTTACACAATCTGTTCATGCATCAAATTCATCAGTTGTCTACGTATGAAAAATAAATAGATAAGTAAAAATGGCAGCTGTAACGGCCAATTAAGCAATTACACTAAAACCCATCCCTGTTTGCTTTGGATGTGTGGAGAGTTACAGCAGTTAGTGGGGGGCTGTAAAGCTCTACTGGTGAAGACAGATGGTGCTGTTGTAAAGCGAGTTAGGCCGCCGCTGCCAAGACACCTGCTCAGTTTTTTTTTTTCTCCTTTCATTTTTTATTTATTAATTTATTTATTTTCTGCACTTGCTCCCACCCGCCCCCCTCCTGTCCCTCTATCCCTCGCTTGTTTTCTTTCGGCTCCAACAGTGTGTCCACCAAGGACCCGGGCCCTGCCAAAAACCATTAGTGTTCACATCTCTGTTCAAGACCGACATGTAAGAGCAATGTTCACACTCCGCCAGGACGCTCCCTCAGAAAACCGGGCTCTGGGCTGTGATAGCAATGTATGCAGCAACGTGAGCGAAAAAAAGGTGACGGAGGGAGGGAAGAAGCGTGGCGGGCAGTGGGAGAAGTGCTTCAGCCCTGATGATGCAGTGAAACTTAAGTCTTTTGATCTGTGTCCAAAACCCTATTTGCATCGCCTCCTTTCACTCCTCAAAGCGCTCCCTCCTCCTGCAGCGAGACCGTTGGAGTTTTTTCTCTCTTGCCACAGCCCAGAGGAAAAGTACAATATCCCTTTGTGGCTGCAGCTGCCCCTCCTGTGAGGACGAACGTTGCTTTACCTTATTTATTTATACTGAAAGAAGCAGCTCCTGTGAGGGATCATTACCTCTATGAGCAGGCACGGGGTTTTCCAGCTTTGACATCTTGCCATGTTGCTGCACTGCAGGGGATGCTTTTCTGGTGGCCAGACAGGGGTTTGGCCCGCACGCACACACGCACACACACCCCATATTGTTCACGTCTTGCACCTCGCTCAAGTTAGCAGGGGTGTGTGTGTGCGTTGAATTGGGTGTCTGAGTATGTGCGTGTATGTGTGGAGGGGTGTTGGCTCGCTGACCTGATGCTGTATGCTGGCCATGCCCTGCGCTCATTAATATGCTTTAATTTTCTTTGACCTTTCAGTTGGTCTTGAGCTTGATTTAATTAAATCCAGTTACAAATCTGCAAGGAAAAAATAAATAAATAAAAGATAAACTGTGCCATCAGGATGCCAAACCTTCGCTGATAAGAGATGGCATATCATATTTTCTTTTTCTTTTTTTTTGGATGACAAGTATTTAGTCATGATTAGTCATGTACAATGGATTCATCAGTGCTGTTATCACTCAGCTGAAAGAGGTTTCCAGACTGTGTAATCTTGCACGTCCAACTGCATGTTAGCCAATATTTAAACAGCCACTTGTAGGTCAACAGCGATCAACCTGTTACCTGGCTTATGTCACATCAGGAAAAGGCTTCATCCACCGTGGCTCCCTGGGAGCTGTAATCTACACTTGTTACCGAACCCCTCACATCTGGGCTATTTGCATTTTAATGTAACTGTCAGATTAGGGGAGGGTGGAGGCGGGGGGGCTGTTTGTGCGAAACCAGGGGAGTGTGACCGCCCAGGGAGTTTGACGGGCTTCATGAATGTTCTGTCACGCCGCGCAATCCCATTCGCCATCTTACGGCACCATTACCAGCCGAAATCAGTCCCTAATTAGATGGTGTTATTTAATTAAGACGGCCCAATGCGTGGCGCACACATTAATCATGACTAATTTAGAGGAAGGGGGGAGGTAAAGTATGCAGAGGTGGAAGAAAAGCGGGGAAGCCTGGAAGTTTGATCTGAAACAGAGTTAGAGTGGGATGGGCGGTGGGGGAGGCTAAAGCTGAAAAATGACATCTATATTTCTTTTCTTCCTTATCCAACACAGAGGTAGATGGATGAATGCCGGGCTGTCGGGGCAGGAGGGGGTGTAAGCTAAGCAATTGAATTGTGGAGCAATGGATAGGGGGAGGTTTGCAGTGGACGGATATCTTCAGCGAGGAGCGGAGAGGGTTGGATGTGACATTTGACTACAGTGAGATAAGACGCCACTATAAGTTTATTTGTTTGGTTTACCATGATCCTTTGTGTCGCATGCATTCAAGTCCCCCTCGACCGTCTGTTTGCTTGTCTGGCACTAAGCTGGGGTAATACCACAGACAAAAGGCTAAATAAACAGTTCTGGTACGCGGATACCTCCTGTTGCTTGCAGTGCGGGACTTTGTGTTGCCTATGATACAGCGGGTTCAATGAACTGCCCTATACTTAATGATGCGCTAGAAAGAGGTTTATATTTTCTCACTTTGTAGTATTTTTTTTTTTTTAAATAATTCCTGAACACGTGTTATGAAAAGGGTTAAGATGCTTAATTTCTTTCTCCTTTCTGAATTTATTTCCCTGCAAATATTAACACTATATTGTTACTTCATGCTGTTGTTATAGAGCTGATTGATTTGGAACCATTGATTTGAATTGTTTCCTTGTAATTTGGGGATTTATGGCATATATGGAGCATAAAATCAAAGCGGAAAGACGTTACAAAGACACAAAAACATTGAAAATGTGATCATCACTTTTTTTGGTGCCTTTTAGAGATCCTTTCGTTCAGTGGGAAAATAATTGGCAGATTAAAGTGTGATGAAAATAACAATTTGTTAGTCTTAGATCGGCATGCTGATTAATATTCGATATGGCTCAGTGTTTTAGAGGTCGTCCAAAATACTTTACTCTTACGTCTTAATATTGAAACTCATTTACAGTTTGCAAATCACAGTGAATATCTTTGGATTGATTGCCTTTACCTACACCTACATGTACATTCTAAGAGCTCCTCCTGTTTTGTTTCACACTCCTACACACGCGTTTCCCGTTGCTATCTGAGTCATTACTGTGTATTTATGAAGTGTTTAGTTATTGTAAAGCGTTTCCCTTCAGAGTTATTTTATCTTTGCTCAGAATATCTCTAAACACAGTCTGGGTGCTATATCAAACTGTCGTTTTCTCTCTGACTACATTAACGTGCGGTTTCCCTGGAGCGTCAGCGGTGGCTGAGGTTGTCGTCATACTTCGTCATAAAGACAGTTCTAAAGAGGTGCGTGCCAGCTGGGCACTATAGTTGTATTATTTATATTATAGTACAGACAGACATGTACTGTAATATGTAGATGATTTAGATATGTAGATATCTAGAAATGTAATATGTAGATATACGTAAATGAAAGGTGGGTAAGGAAATTGTACTAAGACATGAGGTCCACTGATTATGAATGAAACAGCCACTCCACACCTCAACGGTACAAGACTCAGCTGCACCCTTGCATTTAAAGGAGAAAGGACTCTTTTTAGAGGATGCCAATGTTCTCATTTTGGACCTAGAAGACAGATCAAGACTTAGAGGTCATCTGCATCCACTGCGAACGAGCATTGTTGAACAGAGGTAGTGCTTTACAACATCAGCTGTCAGCCACCTACAATGCAGTCCTGAGATCCCTTCCCAGGTATCTTAACTCCCCACTCTCACCTTGCCTCAGGCGATCTCAATAGCTCACGTGATGGGGGGTCAGGGGGGATGTCTTGCAGATGTTCCACACCTTGGGCCTGGTCACAGTAATGATCACGACTTTATTCGTACCTTGGGTCATATAGCGATTCACACGATCAATAGTGGGTTGACAACCGTCAGGACCACCACCACCAAGGGAGCAATCCTCACTAGGGCTCAAATATCTGAGGCTCTGTCAGTTGTTTTAGAATTGAAAACATCTTTACTAACATAAAGAAGTCCTTTCTTTTATG